GGAAGAAACAACGAAGTTCGTCTTTGACGAATTCGATTTTGCTCTAGATCAAAATAGTCAAAGAAGACAATTGTGATGCTAACGACGACACATATTTTAATAAATAAGCTTTCAAGTTGACAAAATTATTTGGCAAAGAAGATATGGATCATAATTTGATGATATGAATTTATGTGCTTGTTAGAATCAACTCAGAGAATTGAGCATAAGCAATGACATAGCAATCTAGCTAGATTCAGGGAAAAAAGAGAAAATATCTTTCTTTTATCGAAATATAATAATTAATTAAGAATTTTTTTTGTTTTGTCACAAGCACGCTTTATTTATTAATACATCCGAATACATTTTGTTCATCCAACAACCAATAAAACATAGAAATGCTAATATTAAAAAAACAATGAATTCCGTAAAGATGCATTCCTAACAAATAGATCTGCCTTAATATTCTCTCTCGGGATTGATGGACAAGTCTATAAAATCCGGAAAAGACCTTAGCTCCTCTCTTTTTTTGTCTGTCACAAACAGCTCCTTAAATTCCTTACATGGTGGTGTTAGGAGAGGTTATTAATCCCTTACATAGTGGTATTTGCATGAATAAAACTAAAAATCTGTTGGATGGAACTTGCAATGTCTTCTGCTGTAAACCTCGTTTCACTTGTAATCTACACAACATTTACCTCAGGTTAGCCTTTAGTAGTTATTACATATATACTCTCTTTTTTTTAAAACTTATTACGTATATAACAATCAATAAACCATAATATATGCGTCTTTGTATATCCTCTATGATCTCTTTTGTTGCTATAGAGCTCTTTCCTTTTAATTTTTTGGTATTGTTCTAAAGTTTTATGATAAAATCAGTGAAAGCATGCACTATCTATATATATGTGTGTGTAATAACTACCGTCTACTAAGACCGAGTACCAAAAATTGAACATTTCAACAACAACAAAAACGGAATACCAATTTTTATTTTTATTTTGTCACAAAATATCCATGATGGTCAATTATAATTGAAATCACACTAACAAACCACTAGATTAGTAGTTTCACCTTCTGCCTTACTAAAACTTATTTAGGTATATATCCAAGCAAACCCAACAAAAGTATGCGCTCAAGATACTTTATAATTAATATATAAACTTATATGATTATATTTACGCAAGTGAAACTTACCTTGACATTGAAGGAGTAGAGGACGGTTTGTTCCATTGTAGTGATGTTAGTGTGAAGAATTGAGAGATGAAGATCCTCCAAAGCAGCTATAGTCTTAATCAATTGTCCTGGTCTTCTTCTTGAAAGTATCTTGATCATGGCGTCAAACCCTAGCAGCTTCACCTCCACGTCTGCCAAACACGATTTGTTCTCCGCTGTCTCCTCCCGAAGCCCTCCTCCTCCTCCACCCTCTAATTCGGTTACATTTCCGGTAATAATCAGCGGGTTAGCAACCGACGTTATGGGGGAAGAAGAAGAAGTCGTTGTCGTCGTCATGTCCCCAATTTGCCTATTACCGGTTTCTCCGAGGATTCTCCGACGCTTTTGTGATTCCAAACATTGTAGGAGTTGCTCTAGTTCTCTCACGAATTCTATTGCTCCTCCTATGATCGACGCTTGGTCTCCCTATAATATACATTAAAAATAGTTTGAGATAGTCTTAGTTGTATATATATATTACATACAAACACACTCACAAAGGAAAAAATTATATAGGATATAATTATATTTATGAATATCATACCCTTTGAACGTAGGAGCCAGGCATGAGAGACCTAAGGACACGAAGATGTTCGTTCATTTGCTTCCTACGGTTCCTCTCTACCGCGATATGAGTCATTCGCTGGCTTTCTACTTCTTCGCTGGTCTTGCTTGTTCGAGCTCTCTTCCTCTTGCTCTTAACCTCCTTTAACGTAACATTCTTATTGTTCTCTCTATCTTCTTCCTCTCCTCCTCCAATAAAACGAAGTTGCACGGAGTTGTTGTCGTTGTCTTCATCTTGATCCTCCTTTTCATCAAGAAACACGTTTCCAATATTGTTTCCTTCACACTCACCTCCTTCTTGAGCCGTCTGGTGAGAAGACATGAGATGCTGGGTTTGGTTATGGTCATCTATCTTTTCATTCAAGACTGGGAACTTCAAGAAGTAAACCGGATCAATCCCGGTTTCTTGATCGTCTTGGTTCCTGGTCTGGTTCAAGGCCAGTTTCGGACCAAAGTCCGCAAACTGCATCACGTCTGCGAAGCTCATTTTATCAAAAGAAGGCGTTGCTCCAAGTCCGGACGTAGACAGTTGATGCTGCTGAGGCATCGATTGCTTTTGTTGTTGAAGGTTTCTATTGAACATATAGTCTACCATACCGGGACTATTATCGTCGTTACGGCCTGAGGATTCAACTAAGAAGTTCGGTGCCTGAAAGAAACCGAAATTGAAGAATCAAGGATCAGAGGAAGTGAATCATATATATATAGGAAAAGAAAGTAATGATTGAGTATAGTAAAACGTATACCGAGTATTCTTTATCCATTGCTATTCGTACTTGATTATAAACGTCTTAAGTCTAGCTAAGGGTTAGCTTCTTGACTCCATTCATGACCTGATGACAACAATCCATGAGCTTCATAGTCATGAAAACATATACATGAAACAAAAACACACGTAGAACAAGTAAAGACTAAACCTAGGCAGAATACAWGTTCTACCATGTGCATATACGACATGTATGTCTATACAAAAACACAAAAGGGTCTGACCTTGTACGATTTACTAGGGTTTACGAGAGATGTGTATTAAAGACACAAGCAATGCAAAAGTAGAAGGAGACAGATAACAGAGAAAAAAATGCTTTTTGTGTATTGAGAAGTCACAAATGAGCAACCATCACCAAGCTCCTTAATATATACTATACAAGATAAGGTATAGCAAGGGGGCATTAAAAGTATTAAATATGTAATTTCGTAATAGTTTGTTTAAGAGTAACTAAGGAATCATTATATATACAGATGTTTTCACTATATGATCGCTCAATTATTATTAACTACATCCATAAACCAATAACAACATTCGATGGAACTTGTCTTTTGTGATTTTATTATACATACTATTTTCCATCTTAACAAAATATCACTTTTACACATTTCACGCATATCTTATTATATAAATGACGATGCACATGATGAAAACGCGATACGTAAGGAAAATTGTAAATCTGCACATCGTGATATGTGTCCAATATTAATCATATGTGTTAACACTTAAAACTAATTAAAAATATAAAAATAAAATTGGAAAACGAACAAAGTAATTTTTAAATAACTAACCAAATAGTAAAAAAGAAAATTATCTTATTTTTCAAATTAATTACGCCAAAAAGAAAATTTCTAATATTCCCTACTAGGTAGATTAAAAAAATATAATAGTTTAAACTACTTAT